TTCTAAAACAAAATATTTCGGAAAAAATTTAATTTAAGATATTTTATTTTTTATTTATAATAGTCATACTTTTTTCATAAGTCATTTGTATTTTAATTTAAAAAAAATTTAATTCGAAGATTTTGCGATTATTTCTTAATTTATTAATAAACATTTATTACCAACCTTTTATTGGTGCAATAATTAAAAAGGAAAAACAGCAAAACTGTTTATAAAATTGTATTTTTTTATATAAGTTTGAATCTACTAGAAAAATTACGAAATGAATTAAATAAAAGATGCAAACCAGAGGCATAACGACGGCGACATATACCTCAAAAGCAAACCGGAGACCACAAAAACTGTAATATACACGAAAATAAATAAAAACAAAATTTTACAAAACCAACGTTTATAAAAAAAATAATCTGATTAAAATTTAAGAAACTCATAGAAAGAAACGACCAATATGGAAGCAATTTTTTAGATTAAAAAAAAATTTAATTAAGAAAAATAAATAGTTATGACGACATGAAAAGTAATTGTTTTTTGCATAAAATTTTATTTAAAAAGATACATAAAGATAATTTAAACCAGATGTATATATAATATTTACTTCTCAGCTGTAGAAAAAAATGCCAGATATCGCCGAAATCAGGCTGCCTGGAAGCCAAAAAAAGTTTGAAAATCTGTTTTTGAATTACTTTTGAATTCCATATCAACGCAACCACCGAGCTAATAACGTCCACCTATTTTTTTCTTTTTTTTTTTGGTTTAACTATTTCTCACTTAACTAGTAGTTGCAAATTAATTTGTTAAATATTTTTATTAGGTTTATGAACTAAATAACAACGAAGAACAAAGCGAAGAATGAAGCATGTTTCTAAAAAAGAGTATATTTTAAGGTTAGTTTTTGTTATAATATTGAAATTATTTGAACTTATTGATTTCAAAATCGAACTCAAAAAATCAGTATTAAAATTAGTATTGCATAAAAAAGGGTATCTTCTTCTTTTAACTTTGTTGAAGTAAAATTAAATAAAAAAGTAATAAAACAAAACAAGAAATTGTGTAAAATGGCTAAAAGAAAATTATGCCACAAGTCCTAACTATATTTTTGACATATTTATACAACTTCTTTTAACTAATATTCCTCAAATTTTTCATTTCAATCTCTAACTCATTTGCTTTTCAAATATTTGGAAAAGTTAGCTGTATAAACAATTTAATTTAAGAAAGTAGTGAATTGAAAAAAGCAATAAAAATTGAGGTTACGTTTTAGCAAAACTGTAATAAAGTATAAAGAAAAAATAATAACTGAACAAAAGGAACTTGTGCTCAAGCAACTCATAGGCGAAATGTATGTATTTTAGTAGTAACAAAACTAACGGTGTTGGGAAATCTTTTTGTGCAATATAAAATTGAAGAAAATTATATAAGTAAGCATATACAATAAAATTTGTGAGAATGCAGTAAAATAAGAAATACATAAAAATTGCGACAAAAATGCTGAAAACCGCAAGAAATTGTAGAGAGGGACGTGAAAACATGAAAATTGCTCTTCTGGTTTTAAGCATAATTACTCTCAGAATCTTAAATTGAACCTGGATCAGAATTGACTTAGTCCCCTAAACTTCTCTTCGAACTACCGTTGTTTGGTAATCTCTTACGGTTTTAAGCTTTACAACTATTAAAAAATAAAATAGCGGCAGAAATTTTACATAAACATGGAAACAAAGTACCTCAGCAACTCAAGAAAATAAATATTAAAGAAGAAATATCATTAAGATCAAAAAGTAAAATTCTCAAGGAAACAATTTGTATATGAAAAAATTAAATTAATTTAAACTAAAATAAAAATTGAAATTATAACAAAAATGTAATTGAGAAACATTGAAAAAAATTAAAACATGAAAACCAGACACTACCGTTTCCAAAGATTGGTTCAAAAATAAAATTAAAATGAATAAGGTGCAAATATATAAAAAATGACAACAAAATGATATAAATTAAAATATTAGTTAATAAATAAAAATTAAAGTTACGTAAAACTAAATTAAATCAAATTAAAATAACTTAAGTTGAATAAAATAAAATAAAATAAAATAAAATAAAATAAAATAAAATAAAATAAAATAATCTACAATAAAAAAAAATAAAATACATTAAAACAAAACAAAATAAAATAATATAAAATAAAAAAATAAAATGAAATAAAATAAAACGAAATCAAATAAAATAATATAAAATAAAATAAAATAATAAAAATAAAATAAAATTGAAATAAAATAAAGAAATTTAAAAAATAAGTTTTATAAAATGAACAGAAATAAATGAAAGAAAAACAAATAAAATAAATTTATATAAGGTAAAATAAAATAGAAATAAATCAGCATAAAATAATTGAAATAAATGAAATAATATTAGCTGGAAACCTTATTTAACAAAAGTAAACATAAAACATTTCTCACCAATATCAGTTATAATGTGTTTGTTAAAATTAAAAAAAAATTAGGAGTTAACTTCAAACAGGAAATATTCATAAATCAAGCAAAAACTGAAAGAATTTACTAAAATTTAATATGTGAATGCAAATAAACAAAAAACTTTTCAGACACATGTTTCTTGGAAATAATTTTAATTAAAATTTAAGACAAAATACAGAAAAATTAAAAAAGGCAAAAATTAATTATAATTATAAAATTTATTATAATAATTAATTTTTACCACACAAATCATTTGAAAAAGTTATACGAGATGAAGATATCAGCAAGACGACGTCAAGTGAATATTAAAAATATCGAGAAAATAACAATTATTTAAAGAATATTTAGAAACGATTAAATAACGAACAAAAAAAAACGATTATGATTTCAAAAAAGAAACACATAAAAAATTCTTTGTATATATTAATAATAATTGTATTGTATTTAATAACTAAAATTGGCAAGTTTTAATTGGTAATACATTCAAAAAAAAAATCCCTCCCTCTATTTAAACCCCTATCCCTATACAACGTAAGACCACCCAACCCAAATTCCACATATTTAAAATTTAAAATAAAGTGAAAGTGGTATTAAAAAAAATAAAATAAATAATTTGTGTTTTTTATTAAATTTTGAACAATAATTTAGGTGAAGTATTTTGAGCAACTATGCAATGAATGGAAAAATTCCACAAAGTTTTTATACACAATATTGATTATCTCTTGTTGAAACAGTAGACTTTGCATGGAGTAGAGTCTACTTTTTTTAATATGAACCCAATCATAAATATCTGCCTTGTTCGCATATAAAATTAAAACAGATCGCTAACCGAAAACCAGCAGCTGTCCGGATCGCTAACCGAAAACCAGCAGCTGTCCGGACTGATCGTAAATGGTGAAAGGAGGAACACTATTTTACTCTAATTTCCGTGGGGACGGCTTTTAATAACGATTAATAGGTATAAATTCAGAACAGCCTCCAACTTATCACCCAAGTACAGAGGTGTTCTGAATCAACAGAAGCATATCCCAAGAAAGTAATCGCACCCACCGTACTCATTAGCTCATCTAAAAGGCATCGGAGAGATTTAAGAGCCATGGGATGATCATTGAGGATTAAAATAAACCCAAACGACTTTATTGAAGAACACCAGTAGTTACAATAGGAAAACTACTTACTTGAAAAAACTTAGTATATGGAAATCCAAAGTATTGAAGTTCTAATATATGTATAATGCATGATCAAATACCGAACACATAGAGTAGAAGAAGATCTTTCGTACATCGACAGCGGGACATGAGTACAAAAAAGGTCAGGATCACAACTATTTATTGAAACGATGAGAGCATTAAGGTGATGATGATGATAATGATGATGGGAGGTTGTATACTGGGTTCTAATAAGATAACTAAATCATTTTGAAAGCGTATCTCACGGCATAGGCCGATTGGTTAGCATTGCGAACTGCCATTTGAAAGGCTATGCTTCGAGTCTTAGTTTAACCAAACTTCCAAAAAAAAAACTACTTAAAAACTTAACAAAATAATTGGGGTCGCCCCTCGGCAGGCGATGTCAACCGCTCGGAGTGTATTTATGACATGAAATAAAGACTCCTCATTAAAACACCATCAGACGTTCGGAGGCGGCTAATATGAGCCTGAATCCCCATTAAATAGTGCCCTAATTATTAAAGTGATGTTTGGAGATTATTTTAAACTGAATCGATAAGAGATGTTAGCGTTCCTTTAAGATCATCTAGACCCTCTTTATTGTATTCATGCAAAACCAATTCAGTGTTGGAGCAAAGATCTTAATACACTTTCTACTAGCTTTGATTCCTCCAAGCCTCATTTCTGCATCAAAAACTAATTACTTTAAATAACTAAGTGATTTCCTTCCCCTTTTTATATATAATCTGTAGTAGTTGATGGGTAAATCTGGAGGTGAATAGTGTAAGAGGCAAGTATAATTGCCTCCGTAATCTGATCGCGATTTCTTCGAGCAATCTCGGATTAATGGCAGTCCAGACTGTTACTTGGTTCTATAACAGTCGGGACTGCCCTGACCCGAAATTATAGAAAATCCAAATAAAGAAATTAACTTTATCTTTTCTAATTTCGGTCGTTAGAGTATCAAAGTCTTTTTCTACTCTACTTACTTTATCTGGGCCCAAAGGAGTATTCAATTTAAAATAAAAATTAAAAATAAAAATATAATCAAGAGTAAAAATAAAAATAGAAACACAAATTAAAATTTAAATAAAAATAAAAATTAAGTTAAAATTGAAATTAAAATAAAAATTAAAATACAAATTTAATTAAAATAAAAAATTAAAGAGAAGATTAAAATTAAATATATAAATTAAAATAAAAATTAAAAATAAAATATAAATATAAATAAAATTATAAGTAAAAATCAAAATGAATTGCTAATCATTTTTTTTCATTGTATATTTGAAATTTGGAAAAAATTTTCAGACAAAGAAAAATTCCAGAAGAATATTTTCAAAAATGATATGTAAGTGTTTGAAAAATATCAAATAAAAAATATGTCAAACTTTATTAAATTTTGGTGTTTACTCGTATTTATACCAATTAGTTCTTTAAGTTTGAATTTAACAATACCGCCCATAAATTGTGAGGGCAATATTACTTGTGGAAATGGGGAGCGGCACTATATGTGTATGGTAAGTGGTCTGCAATAATCTAAACTTCTTCACCGATGCCGTGGACGAAGCTTTTCGGCAGCCTGGCTTTCTCAACGAAGGTAGAACGTAGAAGAGCAAGCGCGAGATCCTCGAGTAAAAATTAGAGATGAACTTTAATTAGTACCCACTAAGCAGTAACGAGTTCAATTAATTCGAACAGCTGCTAAAGTCGGCTCTCTTTCTTATGCAGCGAGAGATTTTCGTACCCGTGCTTAAGAAAGTTTAGTCTGAAAACTATTTACTTTAAAATAATAATATCAACTAATACATATTTCTCATTAATTAGACGCCACAGACGCAGTGTAAGCCATTTGAGCTACTCAAAATGAACGAGGATAAAATTTATAACTTTTTACTGGGACACAATGGCTTACGTAATCGCGTAGCCAAGCAATATCAAATTGCGAATATGAATATAGTGGTGAGTAAGTAAGGCTCCCGTCCTCTCTGATTTAAAAGGAGAAGAGAAGAAAGTTTGTTGAAAGACTGTTTAAAGCCTATAGAGCTTATTAGACTTCAAGCTTTACCGTTTTTTTCGGGCTTGGAAATTAGGTTTTTAGAACACAAGAGTTCTCTTCTCTGCCCTTGACACTCTTAAACGGGTTATGTAGTCTTCATTGTTGAAACTCTTTTAAACTATAAGACTTTATCGATATATCCGATCTCTTGTTCCCAGCATTGGAGCATTAAATTGCAGTGGAGAGCTGAAATCTTTCTAAAAAGATGTAAAGTGGAACCGGATACCTGTCAAGATAATGGTAAAAACTAAACCAAAATATTAAGAATACTCAACTCTTCTCAAAATCAACCACTCACTGCTAGTGTAGGTCCCCTCGAAACACAAATAAATGAGAATTATCTCTTTCATCATGGCTTAATCGGCGAAAGTTGGCCAGCGCATCTTGTACGTCAATGGTTTAATGAGTTTGGATATCGTGAAGAATGGCAGGATTTTGCTGCACGAAGAAAAATGGGCATTGTGGGCAATTTTTCGAATTTAATTTATCCTTTGGTGAAATTAATTGGCTGTAATGGAGCGCAGTGAGTGTTTGAGGCGCCTATCACTCCTTGAAGCTAATTTTTAAATTTTGTTATATTTTTTGCCCCCTTTTCAGTCTGCCCACTGGTTATTTATTCGTTTGTTTTTACTGGCCGCGCACACTTGAGACGTACGAGGATGGTTTTCGATATGGTGAGCCTTGTGCGCAATGCGATCCCAAGGTACCGGCTTGTTCACGTGTCTTTCCTGGCTTATGTGGCGTAGGTGAGTTCTACTGGGAGTTATTCTGACACGAAGATAATTCTATGTAGCTGTTTGTACTTGCAGATATGGAAGTTTCTAACAGCGCAAGTATATTTCAAGAAGATCGTAAGCATATAATTGGGAGCATGTTCTTAGTAATATTACTTAATGGGTGTAGTTTAATATGGAAAAAGTTTTTAGTTTTATATAAAACAGTTAAAATGTATTAAACAAAATTAATTAATATTTTATTTATTTATTTTATTTTCCTTTATTTTATTTGTTTAACTCATTTTATTCATTTTTTTTAATACAATATAATTCATTTCATTGAACTTTTTAAAATAGTAAATATTTTACTTAAGTTTTTTTTCTTTCTATTTTAATTTATTTTACTTTATTTCACTTCAACTGATTTTTTTTAATTTTTGTATATTATTCTACTTTATTTTATTTCACTTTGCTTAATTTCATTTAACTTATTTCATTTTATTTACTTTATCTTATTATATTATATATTATTTTACTGTTATTTCATTTTATTTTCTTTTACTTTAATTTATTTTATTTTATTTTATTTTATTTTATTTTATTTTATTTTATTTTATTTTATTTTATTTTATTTTATTTTATTTTATTTTATTTTATTTTATTTTATTTTATTTTATTTTATTTTATTATATTTTATATTATTTTAATTTTTTTTTAATTTTTTTTTATTAATATTATTTTGTATTTTCTTTTATTTCCTTATTACTTTTCTAAATTAAATGCATCAAATTTCCCTTTTTAATTACATTTCGTCTTTATTTTCTTGCTCTACTGGAGTCTTTCAGGTTTATGCCCGCAGCAGCAATTACCTTAACCAAGTCGTTTAACTTCATATTGTTGTTTTTGCTGCTGCATTACTCTTCACTTATTGCGATTGGCATTTGTTGTTGTTGAAATTGTCTAAGAATATCTGCCTAGGGATTTTCAGTGCATCTTCTTACCCTTAATACCAATCAACACCACCTGCCGTGCTATGAGACGCGTCATTCCATTGGCGCCAGTGGAATTCGTCATAGACGGTCGGCGGCGCTCACATTTGCTGACCTTTATTGACTGATGTTGGCTGTCGATCGGAGATCAATGGTGCATGTGTAGTGTATGTGTATTTTAAGTCTTTAACTGCATAGAGAATGTGTGGGTGCGCCAGAAGCATCGCGGTGTCACACCCCCCGCGTCGAGTTAGATTTTTTATTGAGTCTTCATTGATATCTTTGCGTTTTTCAATTGAGTTATTGCAAGGATGTTGAAAGCTTTCAAGAAAATGCGTTGGAAAAGTTTGCAATGTCGAGTCGCGAGCTCTCGCGCCCATTTTGGTAGATTTAACTATAATATTTCCGTGCAAGGGGTTCTACGTATCTCCTACGTAGATGGATCTGAATCTTCCCATTGTCCAATAAGAATATTTTTTGTTCTTTTTTAATTTAAATAGCTAGCATAATGCAGAAAACTCATCACTCCTGGAGTAAAGCTCTCATGAAAAGACATAGCTATTCTGAGATCTACGAAACTCCTGTGCCGAAATTACATACCCAGCAGTGGACCCCACAGTCTACTAAAGCCGAGATTCTTAATTCAAAGATTTTGGCTCCGTTCATTAGAGCTGGCCTTCATAAGTTCTCTGGAGTTTTCATACACTTTCTCGGAAGAAGAGATATTTTACAGAGAAACTTAAGTTTGTAATATATATCCGGTCTACTCTGCTGTGGACCAGATCGTAGAACAAATATCTCATTAAAAGTAGAGTTGACCTTCTCTAGTTCCTATTGGTTGCTGACGGCAGATTTTCTTCGTTAAGTTTATGACTCTCTGCTCATAACAGATAGACAATATACATGGAGACCTGAGTAGAAGACTTCAACCCCCTGCTGGAGCTAGTTGTAGACGAAAAAATCGCCCAAACGAAATCTAGGGAAAGAGTACCGAACGCTCTGAGGAGTTTTGAAAGTTGTTCGTAACGAGGGACTTAAAACCTGTAGATCGCTCCGTTTTAGTGGAAGAATATTTGGATGCACAATACACATTGATGAGGCTCGACCAATAATATTTGGCTGGCTGCGATAGAAGCCGAACTGGCGGTGTATGCCGTTATACGGAGAGTCATTGACTGGAATCTTGATCCGTCCAACAACCAAATGATGAAATAAAAAGTTCTTCATAAGAATCTATTAGCCATTTAGAGGCAGCTTAAAGCAGAAGCTCTTTCCCTTTTTTTGAAAGAAACTTAAAGACGATAGCGACAAATTGAAGGAGAAGCTTGACCGAAAATTTTTAACGCAGGATTTTGGGAAAACTTAGTGGGATCTGGATTACTACAGGAATAGAGCGTAACTCAGATACAAGTGAGATTCGTACTATGTACTCGTATAGACCCAAGCTCATACAAATTGTGGACTCTTGGGTTCAGTATTCATTAATTTATGGGATTTTAAAGCTAAAGTTTGTACAATAGTACACGGTCTACAGCCTTCCTTCCTTTATCAAATGAAATACTTCAGACTACAGGCTCCGTTGTCAACCTCTGTTCCTGTTTCTTCTACTTATTGCTTTGTATTTCCCCAGTGGTCCACTATGTTGGGCCAATCAATCGATCTTTGGATCATTCATAATAACTTTTCCAATATCTTCTCAACGTTGCAGTCAACCGAACATTCTCTCTGCCAACTCTCCCTCCCAATCGTCCAGTACTTCATTCATTTCACTGTCCATATGTCCGCCCACTTTCTATGGCTGTCGTTTCTTTTTCAAATTATTTTAATTTATTACTACATGGCAAGATAATGAGCAACAGGATAAGAAGAAGAAGAAAAAGTAGAACAAAAACAAAACAACAACAAAAACAATGCACCTGAGTTAGGCCATAAAGCAAGGTAAATGAAAAGGAATTAAGTAAATTTTCTTTAAAACTGAGATTGTATCTGTATGTATATATATATATGTGTGTGTATGTATTTGTATGTGTATTTGTATTTTTGTGCCTACAGCTGCCAAGGGATGGAAATTTTAATCCGCCGGCCTTTAATGACGAACTTACGGTAATCTCAGACTGCAATAGCAACAACAACAACTAACGGATAGAAGATGAAACAAATAAATTTTCAATGCGAAGATTACTGTTGTTTTTGTTTTTTTTTTTTACTGCACCTACAACAATCACTTGGCTGGCCATGAAATCGTAAGCCACTATGCGTGGCTGTCTGTCTGTCTGTCTACTTACCTTGGCGGGTAAAAAGATTTCCATGGAACTAACACACTAAAGACAGGCTGTGAAGGCGAGAAAAATCGGTGGAGGTTGGTTGGTGAGCACACAAAAGGCACACATTCATGCAAACATAGCAATGTACGACAACGTAATTGAATAGCGGTGTAGCTCTATCTTTTTGTGTTGTTTTGATTGTGTGTGTGTGTTGGTGAGTCCAGCTAGGATTAAGTGCATATCCTGGTGCGCCTGGCAGGTATACCTGCCTGCTGTGCATACCTTTGTTCGTTGGCTTGTATGTGCAGCCAGCATGCACAATCTCTATATGCACATGTGCATTTATGGATGTATGTCCCCATGTAGTTGCGCTGGTACATGGCAAAGAACATTCATTTACCTTTGCTGTTGCATTGGCGACAAGTGTCGCCGAGGTGCCGCCATTAGATTTGCTGTGTCCAACGTATATTTGTATGTTTGTTTGTTTGTTCTCGGTTCTCTTGTTTCGTCTTTTCATATGCGCGAAATTTATTAATATTTTTTCCACAAACTATTGCTAAAACTTTTGCGAAAAAATCCTTGGTTACTTATTTTATTTTATTTTATTTTATTTTATTTTATTTTATTTTATTTTATTTTATTTTATTTTATTTTATTTTATTTTATTTTATTTTATTTTATTTTATTTTATTTTATTTTATTTTATTTTATTTTATTTTATTTTATTTTATTTTATTTTATTTTATTTTATTTTTTTTATTTTATTTTATTTTATTTTATTTTATTTTATTTTATTTTATATTATTTTATTTCATTTAATTTAATTTTATTTATTTTATTTTATTTTAAAGCTTCCCCCCGCTTAACTTTTATACTTGAAAAAGTGACTTTATTCAACGAAAATCTGTTTTATGGAATTGGGTTTTGAAATGAGTATTAGTCAAATATTTTCGATTACGTCAAATCATTCCCTAAAAGGTGGGCTAGGGTTATAAAGCCTGTCCTCTTATTTCCTCGTAAAGTGGACAGATACTTAAACATATATATATTAAATGTTCGGGAAAAATTTTTGACTCTTATAAAATGAAACTTTTTTGATTTTTTTTAAATAGCACAACACGAAGAAAATACAACAAAAAATGTAATTCGGTCAAAACACAGCAGCCACATCACTCCATCGTCACATTCGTAGCTGCAGAAAAAACCAAACCAATAACTCCAAAAACCCGGTCCGTCATTCAAACAACAACTTTTTCAACTCCTCGTTCCTCCTCCCAAACAGCCATCCACCCACTAAATACTTTTTAAACAAACTAGAAATGATTATTTGGCTATATATGTATGTAATTAAGTTAGGAATATATATTAGACATATATACGTATGTAAATTTAAAATAAATACATACATATGTATGTATGTGAGGGAGCAACAAATCATCTAAACGCACGTCCGATGTGTCTTAAATTATTGATCCAAAATACTTTTTTATGTAAATTTTATATATGTATGTATTTTTGTATATGTATGCAAATACATATAAATATGTATGTATTTGAGTGTAACATTGCAAACATGCATATATGTGTGTATCTACTATTTATTTGTATATATGTAGTTTTGAGTTAATTTTGTACAAAACTGCTGTAGTATATGCATAGAATTACATATATGTATTTGTATATGTATGTATTCGTATATGTATATGTATTTAGCTCAAATACAAGCATGCAAATGAGTTACAAACACAAATAAAGCGTAAATCAAAAGCGAATGCATAAATACATATACTTATTTATACACATATATGTAAGCCCTTCATATATGTATGTGTGTATGTGCATATGCGTGAGCGTACTTAAATCCTTGCCATTATTTCGTGTC